CGGCATATAACACGCGCGAGTGTTATATGCATAGCTAGAGTTGCCAGATGTCTTCCTTTGGGAAGGATTGTCCTTATTTGTAGCGAAAATTAGCCAAAATTTTTCATATCCTGCCAAGAACGCTATCTGTCCCTCCCTGTCCGCATCCAAGGAAGTTTTCCTTTCTCTGCTTGTCAGATAGTGACCTATCTCATATGTAGTTCTCTCATTATCTGGTAAACTACATAATAAACGTAAACCACATACTTATGAAATGTATAATATATGCAGTTGAAAGTTGACGTTTGGAAAGATGGCAGGGCGCATTCCGCCCCCGACGACCTATCTTCTTCCGCTCGTCCAAATTTTCGGCCGACCTTCCCAACTTGCCAAATCTAGCGACCGTATATGCAACACTTGTCGCAATTCGCCAACTCGGACTTTGGCCGATCGACCGGCAGCGGTAATCGCGCTTCCTCTGTGACCCGCGATCGAGAGAGAGAGAGAGAGAGAGAGAGAGCCAATCAATTCGGAATGCAGAAAGATCATTCCGCCGCGCGCCGCTCTCTCCGTGCGGCTCTAACATCGGCTCTAATTTACAAGAAACGCGATCGCGCGGCACGCGATGAAGATGGTCTCGTGTTTCTTGCACCTGCGAGCACCAGCAGTACCAGTCGCCGTCGCGCGCACACTCCAGGAATGTGTCGGGTTAACCATACACAGGGTGTGCCGGAGGAGGACTGGCTCGTGCAAAATTAATGTAACGCACGCGGTCGCGGCCGGTGACGTGTGTTCGTTTCACGCGTCAGCATGACGACGACTTCGAGGCAGCCGTTCTCGTGACGAGGAGCCGGAGACGTCGCGCGGAACTGGAAACAAAAAAAACGCCGGACTACGCTTCGTCCGATCGATCGCGACGCGCATCAAGCAGCCGCCCGGCCCGCGGCTGCCGGCGAATTTTCAGCAGCTCGAGTCGATTCGTCTCCGCGCGTCTCCGTCTAGAGAACCTTGAGCTCGCGCTCGCGCTCGCGCTCGCGAGCAAAGAATCCTCGTCGCGCGGGTGTCCCTCGACGAGGACGCCGCTGCGCGGATGAAGATGCCGCGGGCTTTCGAGACACCCTGTGCGTCCCTGCGCTGCGGCCAGATGTGAGCGCGTAACGCTCCGGGGAAAAAAGTATCCTCGCGCGGCCAACTCGTTACGCGTTCCAGCGCAAATGGATATTAATTGCCGGGACGATGGGGAACTTGTTGTTAGATTAACTCCGACATGAATATGCAGGACCTCGAGGACGAGGAAATCGTTCTATCGGAAGTTGGCGGTGATCGCCGGGGCTGAGATTAATGCGAGCTCTCTGCGCGGCGTAACGCGATCGTCGCGCGCACGAGCGTGTCGCATTTGTAACCAAGTCGAAATCAATCCGCTGAAAAAGGGAAAACCGCAAGAAGGAAAGAAAAAACGGACGAAAAAAAATCACGCGTCATAATCGCAGGAGACGAAGCGAGAGTCGGTTAGCTGTAACGATTCTACTCGGCGCGCGATTCGAGAATTCGATCGACAGCGAAAAATGCGCAATCGATATTCCTATTAAACGCGCTAAAAGAGCCGCCGCGAAACGAACGCGCATCGGCGCAGCCGGCAAACGAGAGTGCCGCTTGTGCAATTTACTGCAATAGCGTGTCCGGGAGAGTCAATGCTAGGACCTTGCACTCCACGTGTACGCGTATATATTATAGCATGCACGTGCGCATCGGAAGATTACGCGTCCGAAGGACGGGAGCAAACAGACAGGCAGGCAGGCAGGCAGAGGCAGGAGGTGTGTACACATACATGGCAGGACGAGTTAGATTAGATTACGCGTTATCGCATAAATACGTGAATCGAGCGTAAAAAGAGAAGCGATGGGAGGGTTCGTAGAAATTAATACCCGGCAGGATCCCCCATCGAGCAGAATTCTTCGAGAATATTCCGCATCACGTTACGGAAAAGCGTGTATCGAGCGAGTGGAGCACACGGAGTAAGGAAAAAAGAAAAGACTCGGCTAGGGAAACGTTAGAAAGTTGCAAACGTCGTAGGTTAATCGAGTCCGCGATAAGCGACGCTTAGCAAAGACATGATAAAAGTGCCGAGTCGCGGAATCGCTAAAAAGTGCATCTTTAGGCGGAAATCGCTAACGTTCGCCCTCCCTCCCCCCCCCTCTCTCTCTCTTTCTGTATTTTCTCAAGTCAGCTCGAGGGAATAAGGTCGAGACGCTTGAGCCACGTCCGTTCGGACGATCCTCTCGGTTTACAGGTCGACGAACTTGCTCGATATTAAGGAGGGATAAGCCCCTTTAATTAAGAGCGCCGATAAAGTTCGACTCGCGCGCGTTCGACCAGTCTATCGATCGCGACGCGATTTTGATATCGCGCGAGCGCGGCCGGCCGATTCGACGAGCTTGAGATAAGGGCCGCGACCGACCCGTCGTGAGTTCTTAACCCTTTCGGTGTACGGCGGCGGCGCGCGCGTACACTCATATATTCACCGGAACGTTCAGAAAGCCTACCGTCCCACCTACCGTTTTCCTTTTTCAGGACTCTTTATCTTCCTTTCGTCGCCTACGTGCCGATTAGAATCGCTCGGTCGACTCAACGCGGCTCAGCGCGTACTTTCACCAAATGTATCTTTTCTTTCTTTCTTTTTGTCTGTTTGCAAGAATATGGCCACGTATATTTGATGATTTTTAAAGAAAAAAGGATTTAAAGAAAAAATGGGAGTAGCCCAATACCATAATTAATAGTGCATCCCCGAGTAAGAATTTCGCGAGTAACAATCGTCAAGGACAATCGTATCAATATATACGTTCGGTCTTGATGACACTTTGATTAGCAAACAAACGATATCCTTTGTCATTTTTTGTCGTGTTTTTCCGTAAATTACGGTATGCTCTTATCCAGAATTGTCACAAATTGTTAAAGACATTGTTATCAAAATGGAAATTAAATAAGCTGTTTCATCGAGTTGAGTCTAGAAGCCAGTTAAATTGTGTTTTCGCAAAATGAAGAGAATTATCGAAAGAGGCTATTGTACCGGAGCGTCATACAGCAGGTTTTCCTGATCTCATGTGCCGCTTCTTTCGACGTTAAAACTGCCAATTTATCGGAGTTCTGACAAAGTCGCGCGGGAACGCTCCGTACATAATAATACGACCGATTTATCACGAGGCGGCAGTTTTGGATTGTGTTTTTAAAACGAACATCTTGTAGGTGCGAATGCAAGATTGAATGGAGCTGCGCGTGCCGCTTAAAGGGAGATAAATCAAGCGAACGACTTCGCGCACACACATGTACGCGTACGATGCGACAATACGTCATCCTGCTCGCCGCAGGAGTCAGCGCGAGAACTTTATCGTTCGAGCTATAATAAAAGTGTTTAAGATCTGAGGATTTCCGTGACGTGGCGACGGAAAAATTATGGACAGTAGTATAGTTGTAACGTTCCTGCTCTTTGTCTGTCTCTGTCTCTCTCTCTCTCTCTCTCTCTCTCTCTCTCTCTCTCCCCCCCTCACTTTTTCTCTCTACGATACGCGAAACGCGGGAAAAGTCGCAACATCTTCCGCGACGATCAGGAGAAGCGAGCGGGAAAATGCATCGTAAATATTGCCATGGTTATGATATAAATATAGACGGTGTAATCGTAATACAAATATTGTTACAGCGAGCGCGAGCTTCTTTTTTTTTTTTTACATATTTTCCCGTCGCTCGATTTTCCGCGGTGCGAGGTGAATTTAATTCATTCGTTATAAAGTGCCAATATTGGAACATCCGACGTTATCCACGTTGCTCCTTCTGTCCCGCGGTATTTTACGCGGTATTTTAACATAGTCGTTTTCAGCAAAGAACGTTTGTCCCCTTTTGACGAAGCCGCGAGTAAAAAAATGTATTGTGCGTTGCGTTTGCCTCGAGCACTTGAGAATTGTCGCAGAGTCCGCGGCGCGATGTAATGAGCATCGTGTGTCGCAATGAAACGATAAAATGTACGCCGACGAAGGCGCGACAACACACTTCCTGTGTGTACGTGTGTGTGTGTGTGTGTGTGTGTGTGTCGATTGCGCATCTTACCGTTGGAATGTAACGCCAATCTTTGCAGTAGCCCGCGATCCAATTGCGACTTCGGACGCGATCCATTATCACGTTATCGCGGCAGGCGCGAGAGAGACTCTCCCGAGAGACGTCGATGAACTTACGCCGAGTGAACTTACGACACGACCTTAACTTTTTCCGCGCGCCCCTTTTTGAAAGGGGCAAGTGTTTTCGCCGCGTGTGCTCTTCCGCGCGGCGGGAGCCGCGCAAAAACCGGAAGCCGAGAACCTCTCGGAACGTGGAAAAGGGCAAACGAGTTTCCGTCACAGTGTTCGCTCTCACCTCGGAGTACCTCACCTCCTCTCGAGCTGTCTCGGGGATCGCTACAGCTGGTCGCTCCACTTTCTATCGGAGCATCGCGTTAAACACGCGAACGCTGCAACCTTAGCCAGCACGATGACGTCGCCACGATTCAACGCCACGCGAGACAGCCCCACGTGTCTTTTGCGTTTGCTTCGGTGGGCGGCCTACCTTGGGCTACCTTGGGGCGTAAAATTTGACGATCGCATTCGTCGTCGCATACGATATCGCGACGGTCGCGACATGATCCGGCCTTGTCGAGCGATCAGAACACGGCTGATCGAGTCGACGATGCCGACTGTCCGTCTGCGAGCGCTCGCGCATCCGAGGAAAGGAGCACGAGTGCGCGCGCGCGCGCGCGCGCGTGCGTTGGCACACCACGTGCGCGCCATCGTATCTTTGTCGAGACGGAACGTTCATCGCGATGCGCGATTTCTTCCGTAGATGCCCCCCCCCGCACCCCTCTATCGTTCTCGACAAGGGTGAAATCGCGGACGACTCTCCCGGCTCAGATCGTCATCGTCGGCACCGAGAGACGACGAGAACGATCAGAACGATCGGAAGGAGAGAACGCTTGTATCGCACAGAGGAGTCACACTCACCAAACGACGCCGAAGGCCCCGTAGCCGATGGGTCTGTCCTGGACGGGATCCTGGGCGGGTGGCGGCGGCGGGGGCGCGGGTGCCGCGGTGTGATAATAAGTGGGGGGCGCCGCCTGGGCCGCGGCAGCGGCGGCGGCGGCCGCCGCGAGGACCGCTTGACCCGGATGGGCCCCGGCCGCGGTGCCGCCGCCACCGGCGGCGCCGGTCGCCCCCGCCCCGCCGCCCTGCATCAGCGGTATCGACACGCTCATGGACACCCGCGAGTGTCGGCTGGGCCCGACCACTGCCATCAAAGCAGGCCCGCGCGCTCTTCACGGGACGGCGGCGCGCCCCCTCGTCCTCCGGATAGCACGGTGAGCCACCGTTATTACGTTTCGCTCGAGGACGCGCGCGTTCCCCTTGGTCCCAAGCGGGTCCCGCCGATTCCGCGGACCGATCGGACGGACGATCGATCGATCGATCGATCGATCAACTGATTGATTGATCGATTGATCGATTGATTGATTGATCGATCGAGCGAGCGGGCGGACAGGCGATCTTGACGCGCGTCTCGCGAGTAACGACGACTCACGCGACGAGCATGACACTACCACCACTTCTCTTCGTCGTCGTCGTCGTCGTCTTCTTTCTCCTCTTCTTTTTCCTCTTCCTTCCCTCTTTCGCTTCGTTCGTTGCGTTCTTCGTGATTCGAACTGCCCGCGCAGGACCTCTAACCTCTTACGTAGCCTGCAGCCGGGAGGGAGACAGCGCGTGCCGACGCGACGAGCGGCTACCGCCGCTGTATCCTCGTTTCATGCGACGGTATCGGCCGACGGTACCGTTTCCCTTGTCTTCGTTCCCGTAGTGTGGAACGTCGATCCTGCGCGACGACGGAACCTGTCCCCGGCTTCACCTCCGTTACTGCGCTGTGCGCGATTTCTTTCTCTCGTGCGAGTTCCTTTCTCGCGCGTCCGCGCGACACACAAGCGCAACGGCCAAGTTCCGCAGGTTATGTTTGACGTTTACGCACGCATGCACGCAGGCACCGTGCACGCAGGTAACACGCACGCACGCACGCACGCACGCACGCATGCACGCACACCGCCGACACGCTACTGCTCCAATCACAGCACCGCTCCACTCTCTTTCTTTTTCTCACGCCTCACTCCTCTTTCTCTCTCCTCCGCCGTCGCCACCGCCACCGCCACCACCGCCACCGCCACCACCACCACCACCACCGCCGTCGTCGTCGTCGTCGTCGTCGTCGCCGCCGCCACCGCCACCACCACCACCGCCGCCGCCGCCGCCGCCGTCTGTCAATCGCACTCGGGTCTCGTAACAATGCTGTCGTCGTCGTCTCCGTCGGGATTGCGTCCCGGGAGTATACGGGGCCGAAAGACTGGCTCGACGAAGCAGCGGTAGACGCCGCTTGTTCCTACGAGACACTGAGCGACGGAGAAAGGAAACGTGGCCGAAACGCGCAAGGCCGACGAATCGAGGAAACGCGAACTGACGCGGCTGCCGCGACTGCTCCGCTGTGCGAGCACACACCACGATCACTCGACGAGTCCAACGTCGTCGTTGTCGTCGTCGTCGTCGTCGTCGTTGTCGTCGTCGTCGTCGTCGTCGTCGTCGTCGTCGTCGTCGTCGTCGTCGTCGTCGTCGTCGTCGTCGGCGCCGTCGTCGTCGTCGTCGTCGTCGTTGTCGTCGTCGTCGTCGTCGTCGTCGTCGTGTTGCGCGTACTCGCGCACGACCAAGCGGTACTCTTTGTCGGCGTCGCGCGTCGCGCGCTCGCACGCACGTACGCACGCACGCACGGAAAACCCCCCCGCGGCGAGAGCCCGCGGCCCACCACTGCCACTGTATCGTGTAGTATCACCTCCTCGCGCGGAGGGCAAGCCGTCGCACACGCGGCGGCGGACGGACGAGCACCAAACACCAAGCACACGCGACGCAGACGACACGCGCGATACACGCCGCGAGACTGTGGAGAGACGAGCGAGACCGACGAGTAGAAACAGAGAGAGACACAGACAGTTAGAGGGGGGAGGGGGAGAAAAGGTGAGAGTCTCTCCGCGTAGAGCCACGACGGGATATCCAGCCGCGCTCCACCGACGAAACACACATCCACTTCCTGCCAAGGCTTGTTGGCCACTGACAGCGGAAAACGGCTCGCCGCCCGCGTCCCGCGGCGGCCTAGGCACAAAGGCGGTCACGTGACCAGGCGCGGAGACCAGCGCGCAGCCGACGAGACCGGAAACCGCCCCCGCGACGGGAGCGCGCGCGCGCTCTTTGAACGTAGCGACCGGCCGTTCTTGTACCCTGCACCTTGCGTCTTCGCGCGAATCACCGCGATTTCATGATTTCGACGAGTTGCGGCGACGAGAAATAACGTCTTCGACGGAAAAATCGTTTCGTCGTGAAAAATCACGGTGGTTACCGTCGGAGGCACGTTATAGCCTTCTGCTTTTTCTTATCGACAAAAGTGCCTTATAGCCGATCAGAAGCCGATCGCTAGCCATTTTCTTTCTACTCGTTCTCTCTCCCTCGTTGAACTTTTATTCCTCCGTCTCTCTCGGTGAAGAAACTGGATTTCGAGCGGAAATCACTACTTGCTCCGTCACGCGATCAGGGATAAGGATCAGGTTGCGCAAAACGAGGGAAAAAACGAATACAACACGGGAAGATTTGCGACGTGTGTGTGTATATATTTACACGATTGTGACGATATTTCATCGTCGTATGAAATTAGCATATTTTTTCTCTCTCTCTCTCTCTCCCTCTCTCTCTCTCTTTCACTCTCTCTCTCTCTCTCTCTCTCTCTCTATATATATATATATATATATATCTCTCCCTCGTATATTATTCCCCTCACACAATTGCAATTGCGATCGCGCGTGCGTAGGTACACGCGATCTTAACACGCGCGCTCGCGATCACGTAGGAAAATATGCGAAAGATTACATCTCGAATTTTTCGTCGACGCCGCAGTAATCCTTTTATCTTTGGTCTCCATGTCCGGTCTCTCCACCTTATCAATTGTCCCTCGCGTTGTTCATCGCGAGGCCTACGCGTTAACTAACTGGGTACTAACATCGTTCCGAAAGCAAGAGGGAACAATAACAATAATTAACGTGGACCTTGCCTCTCGCGGGATAACACAGTTCTCTTGTGCCCTCTCGATTTCTCCTCTCTCTCTCTCTCTCTCTTAGCTGCTCTCGTAAACGCACGCGAATCCGCGACACGGATCGAATCTCGCCAAGATTGCAACGAAATTGTACAGATAGCCCTTCGAGTCTCCCATCCTTTCGTTTCCGAATCGCGGGATTCCCACGGGGGGGTCCGCGAGCACCCGTGGGAATCGCACCGGTATCGTCGGTATTCGACACACCGCGTCGCCAAAAGTCCGTAGAAAAATCCTGAGAAAATAGCAGTCGCTTTAAAATAGACCCCTGCCGCATAGTTGTTGTTGTTGTTGGTGTTGCTGCTGCTGCTGCTGTTCTCTTCCTTTCACGTCTCTTCCTTTAGCGGGGGAAGTTGTTGAAAATAATTGCAAGTCTTTTGATTGCTCGCGGACACTCGTCCGTTTCGCGCATTGTCAATGTTCTGCCGACCGACGACCCTATCCACTAACAAGCGCACGATTATCATCAGCGGTATTAAGCTCATGGAGGTACGGTGTATCTTACATCGTTCGTATGTTGATGACGCTCGCGCGTATGTGCGTCGAAGCCCGCGGACACGGGCTTCGAACGTCGTACTTCAGGTCTCGCCCTAATGTACTACTAGTAACTATCTCGCCGCGTACGAAAAAATTCATTTAAACATACGTGTACGCACACGTACGAGATATCAATTATCTCGCCCTCCCTCCGCGAACTTTATTCATAACATACATTGTTCTCATGTTGTACATATTTTCCGTCGCTATATCGAATCCGTACTTGCCTTCGAGCGACGCTGAAAGCGCAAAGCCTCGCCATACGATCCGCATCCGAGGAGAATCTCGAGACTCTCGAGTCAGTATTCTTTTAACTTAATGTCGCTTTGCGTCGCTCGAAGGCCGTCACTTTTAAATTGAGACTACCGCGGAATTGGAACTGGCCAAGGATCACACCGTGTGACAGCGTAAGGACTCCAGGCACCAATCGATCACTGGCTACAAATCAGCCACGAGAATCGGCTGCGCGGTGCGTTCGTCGTCGTGTCAGTGAACTTTCCGAACTTTCTCGTCGGTATCTCGCGCGAATCTCGTCTCGATCGCGCGTCATCATCGCGTGCCGCGAGAGCAGGCACACGCAAGCGTCGCGGGAAATGTGTTTGTCAACTTTTCGACACTGCGGGCGAATCGCGCGGTCGAGAGATTTAAGAGAGTTCGAAGCCGGTGTTGCTGGTAACGGCGTAGCGTAGCTTCTCCCGTAGCGTGCTCTTCTTCTGATAATTGGGCAGTTTAAGCAAGTTGAAGCATGTGGACGAGGTGGGCAGTCGATTCTGCGGGTCCTTCTTGCGAATCGTGAAGAAACCTCGGATCACGCTGCCTAAGTAAAAGTAAGATTCGACAATGAGAATGAGTTTGATGAGAAACTTGACACGAGTTGACACGCGTCGACGACGAGTCGTCACACACGTTAATCGTTACCGATAGTGTCGCCAGTGTCCTCGTCGTCGCAAACTTCCACGCATCGTATGGAGAAAGGTGGCTCCAGATGCGCGAAACCCAGTAACGGCGACTTGGAGCAACTTGTGACAAACTGTCGAGGCATCATTGTCAAAAGACCATCAGTGAGAAACATCGGTGAGAAATGGTTAATGTAGACAAAAAAAAAAAAAGTATCGAGAAGCAGATCGAGAAGGAGAATCATTGTCAATTGGGGCTGACTGACCGAAACGCGGAAAAGTCACGATAGCTACCTTCAGGAACAAGCCTCTCTCCTCTTCTGTAAAGTCCTTCTCCAATATATCCCACAGCCAACACACCACTCGATGACTGTCGTGGAAGCCACCGTAGTATTGCGTGTGCCTTCGTAGGTCCCGCAAGTCCAAGGGAACGTTGTCTCCCGAGATCAGTCTCTGTAACTGCGAACCGCCACCGTGATTTCGTGATTCCTCGTTTGCACGATGATACAATCACAGTTCAGCGACACACAACGCTGAACAAAGAAAAATGAGCGAAGACCGGCTCACCGTCCGTGACGACGTCCGTAACTCACCTCGGGCGTGGAGAATAACGAGAGCCAGTCGGGATTGATAATCGAGCGGAATCCCTTGATGAAGGCCGTTGTTTGCTCCTTGATCTGATGATGCATCCTGTAGTGCGCCATATGATGAATGTAGTGGATCTTGTTCTGATTAGTTACCGCAGTGGTGCGTCCACCGGGGATCAGCTCGTGCGTGACCAGCTTGCCGAGCACGTCCTCGTCCAACGAGAACGTCAGCTCGAGTTGTCTGACGTCGCTCTTGTAGTGTTTCACCAAGGTTAGACTGCGGTATAGGTCGCGGTCGAGAGATGCGAGCTCATCGAGCCAGCTGTACAGCGCGCCGCCCGCCTGCCCGGAAAACTGGGACACAAAGAACGACGCGAAAGGCACATCCACGACGATTCCCTGAAAAAACGAACCGGATCGATCCTTGCGAGAGAAGCGAAATCTCGATTTCGTAGGATATTCCCGCAGTCGCGCGGTTATTTTTAAGAATCCGAGATAAAGAGTCGAAATAGGCAATAAATACGTAATTAATTTTAGTAGTAAAAAATTAGTAGTAATTAATTTTAGTATTTTAGTATTTTGGAATGCAAATTATATATCTATTCGCGGGAAGAGCTCGCGGGAAGAAAGCGGGACGATTTACCTCGTAAACTGCTTTACCAAGCATCCGTCCGACAAACTCGAACAGTTGCAAGTGATTGTCCTGCATGAAAGACGTGGGGGACGGGTACAGCCGGTTCTCACTGGTGGCCTTGAACAGATTCAGGGATGGATCGAACACCCTCTTTATCGTCTCCTCTAGAAATTCCTTGAAAACCCCGTCCTGATCGATCCCAGCTTCGGCCAAGCCCTGCTCGTTCACGAAACGCACCCTGATCACACCCTTGAGCGCCTGCGACGGCAGCATGGCCAGCTGCCTGTATCCGTCCTCGACTATTCGCGTCCTGCGAAATGTCGCAAAAGAACGATCAAAAAGCTAAGCCGTAAGTGTGAGATGACACATCGCGTGGCGCGTGGCGACTAGTCTGAGCGGCTGCTGACCTGTGCACGACGATGAGCGTAGTTGGCGGACTGTTGCAGGCGCTCTCGGTCAAGCCCATCACCGCCTTCTCGTCGGCTATGTGTTTGCGAAAGAGCACCACTCGCTCGGAATGTGGTATCACGTGGGGCATTTTCGAGAGTAAGAGCGCCGCGCCACGACGACCCTTCTCCAGGTCGGCGAGGAAGCCGGAAACTCGTACTTCCTGTTTTTAGAGAGAGAAACTCAGTAAATCTCAGCAGGGAGTGAGAGCCGCGATTGCTGTGTGCTGTAACACACAGTTGAGCAGTCGCGTATCATCACTCATCACAAATTCGATCATCCGCAATGACATCTTTGCGATAAACATTACAACACCGGATTTTGTCGGATCGGTGAAAAAGCCGGGATACTTAACTTGGCCAGCCAGTGGCCTTCTGGACAAAACGTGCGGCGGCAATCGCGTCGGTAGATCGCCATGAGAAGAGTGTGAAGCGACGTGAACAAGGGATTGCTGGACACTGACTTCACATCTGTAACCGGCGAGATTTTAGCAGGCGCGCCACATTGTATTTGCGTTCTTTGCGTTTCGGCGAGCAGGCAGCACTCACCGAATAAATTAGTAAGAACCGCTTTGTATAAAAACTGGTTTAGGAAGTACGATACGGTGACGAAATCCGTGAGCTTAAAGGGGTCCTGCTGCTCGTACATCTCCATATCGTCCAGGATACTGAAATCGGCAAGACGAGATCAGCATCGGTCCGGTGGAAGTCGTCGGTCAAAACCGACCAATATCATATCTAGCTGGTCGCTCTTGACGAAGCCGTGTCAGTTTCCTACTTTGGCATTTTCCGACTTACGTCACATAGTGCGTCATACAATCGGAGAAGAGTATCAACATTTGGAACTCAGGCGCCGTGCACTTGGTGTTGGCCGCCAAGAGGTCCAAGAACGCCTTCAGGCCGCAGTGTGGTCCCAGGGTGCCCAGAAACAACCACATGTGATACAGAATCTTGTCCTGGTAGCACAGACCTGTTTGTGTCATATTATACGAATGTGCAATTTATTTGGTCAAAACTACATTCGGTTTGTTTCGGCAACTACATGCAAGGCATCGCGACACAACTTGTCCGTTGTTCGCGCGCCGTTAATCCGCCTACCAGTCAATATCTCCACCTTCATCTGCGTGAGGGTGTGCAGCGCCGTTTGGTACAGCGAGCAGATCAGGGCTATCTTGGTGGTTTCGGGGCTGCCCAGCTTCCTGTAGTTTTTCGTACTGTTGTTTCTGTTGGTGCGCGCCTCCAAGAACGCGCGTCGGAAAATGTTGGCGCCTACGGAGCTGCTCTGTTGCTCCACCGTGGGCGGCACTTCTTTCTCCACGAGTTCAGTCAGTGGCTGTTCTGAAGACAAGAAGAGAAAGAAACGGTGCGGAAAGAAATGCTAGACGCGCTGACGCGTTCGAATTTCGCGCTGTAAAAGTCGACGAGTCTCACCGATTAGTTGCGAGACGATTCTGCCAGTCCACAGGCAGGCCAACTGCAATTTTACCGAAGGTATAGCTTCTTGCAAAGGCGTGTCGATGGTTTGCGCGAACCAACCCAACACGGGATGCCAGTGCGTCAAATTGCTCTGTTTGGCGACCACGTATTGCTGACACGCTTCCAACATCTTCGTCACGACAAACTGTAAGAGATTTGCAGACATCGAAACAACGATGTACGGCGTAAAATTCCGTAAAAATCAAGAGCGAAGGGCCAGAAAATCTCGGCGAGTACTCTATCCTTTTCTTCGGACCAAAGTCCGAAATTGACGAGATATTACAGCTTTCAGATTACCGACGTCTTACCGTAAAGGAAGGAAAGTAGAGCTCCCTCAACACCTCTTCCCTCTCGATATTCGCCAGCTGTATTAGATTCGCAAGCAGGCAGAGCGCGTAGCTTCCTTCCAGAGCGTTAAAGACGATCCTGAGGTTCTGCTCAGAATTCAGCAGCTCCAAACTCCTCGCGAATAGATTGTTCGTGATGAACGACGAAATGCACTGCGGACACGCGTCGAAAACTTCACACGCTGATCAAAGAAGGGAAGAGACTAATTCTGTAATGTCAATTCTGTTATATCAAAGAAGTATCTGTCCTCTTCTCTCGTACCTCCGGTGACAGAATGTTTAAGTGATGGACCAACGCTGGCACGCTGAAGATATTAATTAGGAATAAGGACACCAGCTTGTCCGACATTTGCGAAGAGATTAGCGGTCTCAGCGTCAAGGTAACAGCTGCTGAAAGCGTGACTGGTTTCAGGGCGATTTTTGCTCTACCCAGTCCCTTCACTAACAGAGCCTAGAGCAAAGAGCGCAACAAGTTGGAATTGCCAGAGAATTGCCAAGATCAGGCTGCGGAGTCTTTTGTTATAAACCTGCATGATGGCGTAAAATCCGTTATTAACCAAGTGGCCCATGATGTTGGCGCACAGCTGGTTCATGCCAGCCTTCAGCTTGTCCATACCCTTCACCCTCTGGATAGCCCATGTACCTGGCGACGTGAAGCTCACCAGAATGTGCAGACGCAGTAATATAGACTTGTGGTCCGACACTCTCTCCGGCTTGAGGTTTTCCAGGCCGCAAAGACAGTGATATAGGACCGTCTTCATCTGCGATAGCCATGATATGTAGTGATCTTTGTTGAGTGCGAGTCCGACGTAGGATATTTTCGGTGACTCCGAGTCGAGAGTCAGCACAAGATACCTGAAGGAGAGAGAGAGAGAGAGAGAGAGCGAGAGAGAGAAAGAGAGAGAAAGAGAGACGTTTCTTATAACGAGGATAATGTTTTTCTTCGAAGAAACGAGCAGGAATATTCTCGACGAAATCGTGTACCCACCTACACACTCTCTCTATTCTCTCTTGATCCCTTTCTCTTTTATATATTAACAAAAATCTAGAGATAATTCTGTACACATCCAGAGCCGGCTTCAATTCCACCGCGGCCTCGGTGCCGGTATCATCGAGAAAATTGACGTCGAACTCTTCGCTAGAAATTTGGAAAATTACGTTACAACGTGCCTCTGTAATACTTCGTATACTCGCGATGCACGGTGAATTTATTGAAAATTTATAGCGAATTTGTAATTACGCTATAAGTAATTACGACGACGAATTGCGTATATAAATTAAATTTGATAATTCAATTCAGCAGTTTCTGCTGTAAGTACAACAGCCAGAAATTTATCGGCGTGGCGACAGCCGAGGCGTCAATAACTCGGCTCTCAACTCGGCTTTGTGTGTTGTGCCAGACTGGACTGGTATCATTTCTAGATATTCGTACGTCGTGACTCAGACCCAGAGCTGATTTGTGATAAGTCAATATTTACGCGAATGCATGATAAATTGAATATAAAGGTAAAAAGGAGAAACAATCAGAAGCGCATTGCATGACACAAAATAGACCGATAAAAAGGGCTATTTTCGCTTCTTCGCCAACGCGATCGTGATTCGCTAGTCTAGATTCTCCACCTGAAAATATCCGCGATCCGAGAGGAAAGCGTTATTGACGCCTGGTACAAGGCCTCTGTCACGCATATAAGTCACGCGAGTCAAGAATTTTCTTATATTTCCGCGCGTAGCGAGGAAAAACCTCGGCGATCAGAGCTTGCAGATAGGCTATCAGCAATATTTATTTACATCGCACATACACACACGTACTACACACATACGCGCGCATATCTCACTCGCGAGATGCGCTGATCGTTTCACCTGCACTTTCTGCACTCGCGCAAGCGAGAAGGACGCGATGTACGTTCGAGCTCGAGAACGAGCGAGAACGAAAGATGTCATAGGTCTGGAAGGTGCGTGAGAAATGAACAGCTCTTCTCCTGCGCGCGTAAACACGCAGCCATTCAACTACACGCATTCGCTCGACCACACGCGCCACGCTTATTGACAGCTTTGTGCTCGGCGGCAGCCATCCCTTGTGAAAACGCTTCGAGCCCGTCGACGTGCTCCGGAAGTGTCTCTCACTTACAGTATCCGCTTGGCGAAGCGGACACGGGCCAGCCAGGTCCTGACATGGGCTTGGATCAGGGTGGCCGCGGCCTCTCTGCGCTTTTCGTGTGCCCGATCCTCCCGCGCGGCCTTCTTCTGCTGCAGGAAACTGCCCTTCGATGAGCGTTCCGCTCCGAACATTCTCGGATCCTCCAGTCACGACCCTCCGACCCCGGTACTCCGAGCCGCACCGACACCTACGCTCCTCCGCGTCGTCCGCGTCTTCGTCGTCGTCGTCGTCGTCGTCGTCGTTGTTGTTCTTCACCGATGGCCACGAGACACCCTCGCGGCATCGTCGTCAGCTGACGAACATCTACCAACTACTTCCTCTTTTCTCATATCTCCCTCCCTCCCTCTCTCTCTCTCTCTCTCGTTCCCCCTAGTCCCATTCCCCTTCCTGATATTACTGTTCCAAAAGACTCAGCCGACAGTGCCGGCTGTAGAACTTTGAGACCCTGAGATAAGGAGAACATTCGGTGCACTCAGTCTCCAATAGCGTGAGCTGTGACTAACAACCGCAGCTACGTCATTAGAGTCGAATCATTGCCAAGTTGGGTGCTAAATCTTGGCTGAGTTAGATTCGAATCTTGTCGCGGTGTTTTTGATCATCGACAAAATAATATAAAGAATGACAGCCCTGGGTAAATTTTCGTATCAACCAAGGGGCCCGGAGGGGCCCGGAGGTAAGATTACTTTAGCTCACGATAATACGACTAACAATTATTGCCGGTGCAAGGCGAGAGGAAAGACAACACACGTCCCTATTCGTGTTATATCTCGTCGCTCCTAGGTCTCTCGACGCACGCTGCCAGCAGTTCCTGATTCTACGACTACGTCATGTTGTGACCCGAACGGCTGCGACGCTTAGGCCCAGTTCCACAACTTGCTTTAAACGGAGTTTAAAGCTAAACCGATGGTCAAAAGCAATAGTATATGCGCATATAACTGGGCCTTATTCAATCATTCATCCTGGCGCGCGCTTACTCGTTACTCATCATCCATGCTTATTTCGAGCTGTGTTTCATATTCCGGCCACGGTATTCTTAAGAAGGCGCTAAATGCACAGCGAGGTTTCTCTGATACGCTATAAATTCCGTAAGACCAGAGAGGAAGCTAAGAGCGGCCAACACGGCGTTTTCGGCAACACCGATTTTCCGCATTGGTAATGGGCGCCATCTGCATCCATTTTCATAGCCATATATTGCCATGTATTCTCGCCATATATTATGGCCACTTGAAATCGCGCGAGCAATCGAGAAAACTGAATTTACCGGTAATCGCAAAGGCGCACGGCAGACGTCACGGACGGATGCCGGCTGCCCGATAACAATACTGCTGCTACAATTTAACTTTGAACCACAGCGGCCTCCGGTCGCAGGAAATGTGAAATGTTTCGATTTTCACAAATTCATATAAAATTTTTCATTTTTCACTGATTCACAGAAGTCTTTCACTTTTTATTAGTTCACGCTAGGGAAAAGATTCATGATCGCTGCCCTGAGCAGCTGCAACGCTTTTCGAATCATCTATGTCGGCGCGCTGTTACTCCTCAGATTTCTGTCACTAATAACTCGATAATTATTGCGAATCTCGCGAAACGGTATGGGACTTTTATGTTTGTCTCAACCCAATCTACCCTCACATTTCGGGTTGGCAGCTAATTACCGGACACTTCGTATGATCTTCATGATATTAATTATGCACAATGACCCATATTCACAACGTGCTTATAACTAATTAGTGCGCTGTTAACCAATCAGAACCATATTGCGTGGCTTTCCATTGGTTTCATTGGTTAACAGCGCGCTAACATAGTTATAAGCACGTTCTGAATATGGGCCGAAGTCAATTCATTTTTTTCAGCACATGTTAACATGTTAATTCATGTTATAAACGCGTAACAATGTGCGAGACCGTGCTTGTCAAGTACGCTATTATGGTTGTAGCACGGACATAAACCGCCTAAAAATGAAAGTGCCACGGCACGGACTGCCACCGCATACAGGTTTTACCGCCGAAACCTGAAAGTGGACGTAGCATCGTAGTTCTCCTTTCAAAATGGATGCAGATGGCGCCCATCCGATTTTCCCAGTGCGGAAAATCGGTGTCGTCGAAAACGCCGTGTTGGCCGCTCTCACGTTCCTCTCTGGACCAACAGTCTTTGTAGTATCTCGTCGGTGGTTTGGTTCGAGTCCTGGCTCCTCGAATAAGGTTCAAATCTTGGCTAAATCTTATGAAAAAAGATAACTACAGAGCGCTGATATTACCAACAATTTTTTTTTTCTAAAATTACCTCATCTTTTGCCGATCTACATGTCAAGAAGTTTAAGTTTGATAACGTAGTTAGTTTTCAAACCATAGTTTTTAACCTTTCTCAGTACTACAAGTGTGAAAAGTTGAGAGCTACATTAAACGGTAAGCAATAAAAGGAGTGCAATCTCACTCACGCAAACATACAGTAGAATGTGCGAACGCATAATCGCGATTTATTACTTAGAGGGTGAATTCGGGTCTTCGTGAAGGTCACTCAGACAGCTGAACATAAGCGATAATCGATGAAGACGTCAATTTGCCTCGCGAAATTGCGACCAGCAAATTCTCGTCGATGTTGAAACTTGACGTTTCAGCCTCGCGTAATTGACGGTCGAAATGCAACGAAAGGTGGCACGCGCCAAAGTGCATCCGGTCTCAGATTCGCGTATGCAATAACAAGTCGGCATCCGCGATCCGCGACTCTCTCGACGAGAGAAGGAAGAAAGGGAGGAAGAGGAAGGAAGAGAGTCAGAAAGAGAGAGAGGGAGAGAGAGGAGTAGAGGAGAGTCGTGATTCACTGGTGGCGAGAGCGACGAGGGCGCAGATGGGATATATAGATAGGAAAAGGATGCGCGCGTCGCGTCGCGAGAGGATGCAGCCGGAGGTCGGCGATGATGGAAAAGGGGGTCGAGGAGGAGATTGCATCTCTCGACGATGACTGTGCTTGACGTCATTCGCATGCGAAGCAAAGCGTGCGGAATGGATATATACGTATGCGCGCGTTACGTACGCAAATACGCGATGCGCGAGCGTGAATACACGAATAAGGCGACGCTCACAATTGGAACCCGCTCGAATTCCACTTGGGGACGTTGGGGTTGGGCGACAAAGTGCCGCGAGATCGAGGACAGTCGCGCGCAAGGATCGATCCTTAGGGGGACGTCCGCGACATTCCGCCTCCTCGGGACGATTCCCTTTGAAGAGAGAGAGAGAGAGAGAGAGAGAGAGAGAGAGAGAGAGAAAGAGAGAGAGAGAGAGAGAGAGAGAGAGAGAGAGAGAGAGAGAGAGAGACGAACAAAGAGAGAAAGGGAAGAAGAGGTGCGTGAGAGACGAGGGAGAGAAAAATAGATGGACGGTGGATCGAAGCTCAGCTTAGTAGCCGAGCACTCGCGCGGCCTGCTATATTGTCGCTGAGAAACGAAAATAGCTGCTGTCACGGCCCCAGAAGCCGCCGATGAGGCCGCTAAGGCGGCATGGCGCATGGTCATGCGCGATCAGATGGTGGGACGAAGAAGCGAACGAGGGTGAGACCTGGAACGAAGAAACCCGGCCGAACAAACTGCACTTACGTAATCCTTCTTCTTCTTCTTCTTCTTCTTCTTCTTCTTCTTCTTCTTCTTCTTCTTCTTCTTCCTCTTCTTCTTCTTCTTCTTCTTCCTCTTCTTCTTCCTCCTTCCTCCTTCCTCGTCGTCGTCGTCGTCGCTAGGGCTTTAAAGTCAAGCCGATGTCTAGCCTCAACCTCGTGTTATGGCATCGCATGAGTCTGTAGACCCGACGCGATATGAAGCAATAATAACGAAGACTCGAGCGACGTAACGAAAATAAGCAGCCGCGAGTGAGATCGTTGAGGAATGAAACAAGCTTTGCGAAATACAGCCGTTGTTTTTCAAGGCAAATACATCGCAATACACCGGCCGGTTGATCGGGGCTCAATTCTGACGATTGAGCAAACAGCAGCATCTTCTCGGATTTAAAGGGCGGATTTAATATGGCCGACCATATAAATGGAGTCGATACAACAGCAGGTTGACGGACAACGGCGATTTGAGCCGCGTTGCAGCGTAATGTAATACAATGTAATTTGGCCCGAATGATTTAGCTCGTCGCGAACGCCAAGAGAAGAATCCACTCTCGCGCGGTCATTCATTGAGCCCGGTGTCGTCTCTCTCGACGATAATTATCGGGCCTCGAGCCTCCCTCCTCGTCCGAGTATCCTCGCCGGAATTAGACGGGTGCCGACAGAATAAGCGGACGTATTGCGCGAAATTATACAACGCGTAATTCGCGTAATTATTATCGACGCGCGGGCGCGGCTGCCAAAAGACGCGTCCCAGTGTCAGAGTGAGCGAGCGTCGATGAGGGGAAACGCGTCGCGCATACCGTCGCGACGGCCAATTAATAGCGCCGGTCAATTGGCGATACGTCCGTGAGCTTTTCCGCGACTAAGCCAGATTAATTTCCGGTCAGGTGCGCCCCGGGGAAAAGCGCGAGGCAGCGAGGTGAATTAATGCGTACGCGCCCGCGATGAACTTGCACTTGAGGGGCCGGCTCGTCCTCGACCGATCGCGTTTCCCTTCGATTTTCACGCTCGAGAGAACGTGAGCGAATTTTCAGAACACAAGAGAGGGAGAGGAGAGATTTCCCGCGTGTTCTTCTCGCGCTGAAACGCTACCCGCCCCCGAGATGCGGGCGGGATGTCGAAGCGCGCTTGAAACGAAGATTAAAAGCGTTTTCAGCGTTTTTTTCTTCGCTTCAGAGTCTGCTTCTCTCAAGTGGATGGACATTCTTGTGTAATTTTCTGCGTCGTAATTGCTGTGATTGTGTTTGCTTCATAGGAAGGAGATTGCGCACCCGCGATGCTAAGCTTTGTCAATTATTGTACGATAAATATTAAATTTTGCGACCTGTAGAAATATCGTCCACGAAGTGGATGGCCTACACGAGAACACCGTCGCTGGACCCAGCGTCTCTCTCTCTCTCTCTCTCTCTCTCTCTCTCTCTCTCTCTCTCTCTCTCCCTGCTTTGAATCGTGCCAAGCGCACCAAGTGCTCTCTCGGCTCGAGATAGCCTCGCGCAGGAATGCTCTCGCTCTCTATCGCAAGGCACGGATAAAATCGGCGTTCTCCTCGCGCGAGGTTACTCATTGTGTCATCTCGAAGGGACATTGGCGCCGTCGCTGCCGCGAAATGTTAACACCCTCCGCGAATAATTAGGATATAATTGGGAGGGACGAAGGGGGGATCGCGAGCGCGGCGGACGCTTTGCGCCTTCGTATACCGCTTCCTTGGCTCGTGCCAAGCGCTGAC